AACTGAGAAGCAGTGATACTTAAAAATGCTACTTTTCAAGATTTTAAACCCTCTCTCCCTTGCAAACTGTGGCCATAAAGTTTCCAGCAGCAATTTCCCCTGTGACATCCCAGGCCAAATTCCAAGTGGAATAGAATGATAGCCCCTTATCAAAATTCACCTCACTGTTACAACTTCCCATTAAATGGCTGGAAATCTGAATTCTTTTTAGAAGGCTACAATTACAGCAGATTATTATGCTTCCCTCTAATTACTGCATATAAATACATACAATGAAACAGTTTATTGTAGTGTACTTACAGTAAATAGAAAGCAATATGCTTCATTCAGCCCATGTATTTTGACACTCACATCAGATTTACCAATTTATCTTCATTACAACCCCTTCCACTGTTACTGACATCCTTCTCAGAGCTACGCTCAAGCATCACAGCGGGAAGATTGATGAGGACTGTATATACTGATTTGCAACAAAAGCAAGGCACTTGAGAGGCACTGCTACTATTCCGATAGCACTAAGTTGGCTAAAAATTAGCTGCACTAAGCCAACACTCTGCTCTCACTTCTCTTCCTCATTAATTATGGTACATGACTTGGACCCTGAAAGGCTAAGGTTGTTGTAATACTATTTTTAAACCTATTGTCTTCAGTTGCTTTGTTACTCTTGAAGAGATTTAAAGTTCTGACCACGCTTATTAGCAACTATTTTTATTCTTTAGGGAGGCTTTGAATAGACAAGTTGTTCACCATGACAAATGTTAAAAGATAAATTCTGAATTACAGTGGTAAATTTAAACATAGTTTGGAAGAACAGAGAGATACTACGGTTACAATTTTCAAAACTGGCTAAATGACTTAAGAGCCTGCACCACAAGTGCTCATCAAGGAAAAGACTACATAGCCTCGGCGCTTTAAAAGTACCAACTTATTCTATATTGTTATCAAGAGGATGATAAAGGTCATCTCTTGCTATAGATAATTTACCCCTCCAAACATAAAGTTTCAAAGACTGTTGCTAGAATTTCACGCTGAAGCCTGTAACTCTTCTGGCTTATTCTTTTGCTAAATACAGGTCTTGCCCCACCAATTCCCAGCAAACCGAACTCCCCAGCAGTGGGTGCATTTTGCAGAGGCTTTCCACGTTGGAGGCGTAAGTAACCCAGCATCTGCAACAGCACGTTCAGAAACTTCTCGGGGTGCGAAAGCATGCGATCAGATCCACTTTCTGGGCAGAATGCACAAGTCAATGAACTGTAGCTTGGATTCAACAATCCTCTCCCATCAAGATGCACATGTACACTGGAAAACAGACCAGGAACTATGCATGCTTTGGACATCTCAAAAGCAGCTGACACAACACAAGGATACAGATCTGCATGAAATGGCTTATTTTTTACACTTATTATCGGATCTCCATTGCTCCAGCAGCTGCTTGCATAAAATCACACAGCACAATCACTAGAGTTTATAAAGCTGTCAGACCAGGATTAGGACACATCTACAAAAAATGTGGGCAGAAATCCAGCCAGGCTATTTTCTGTGTTTTTCCATAGCTCAAACTTCACTAATACTCTTCACTTCTAGCTTCTTCTTTTTAGTAAATTAGCATAATACAAAAGGAGATAGAGTTAAGTGTTAACATAGAAATTATTAGAAGGCAACACACACCCAGGAGAAGAAGGAGGTAAAAGAAGTAAAGAGGAAGAGGATGATGTGTCCAATTATTGAAGAACAGACAGATCACCTGAAACCTGCAATTGCACCTCACATGGAAAAACATTTATTCATTTACTTGCAAAGCAAACAGGAAACTCTCAGAATTACCTTTTTTATTTCAGATGAGTATTTACTTCATCACAACTACAGAATCTTTTAGAAAGTCTGTGAAATAAAACAAATGCTTTTGGCTTGCTTCATGTGAAAAAGTAATGTAATCAAGCGGTCATTTACCTCCCATTTCAGGCAGAACCATTCCATTAGTAAGAATCCACTAAAGAAAGAGACCATCCTGTGTAAAAACCAGTGACATCAAATTTAAACCTAAGCAGAAAAATTCTACCTGATAACAAGCACTGAATAGAACCTGCAGCCTTGCAAGACATTACAAATGTGCTAAAAAAAATTAAGCCTTCAACTTGGGAGCTGAAAAAAAATAGCATTGACCATGACACAATCAGTGAAAAAACTGGGAGAAGAAATAATTTTTTCTTCTCTCAAAAAGCCACAAACAAACAAACAAAACCCCTCCCCAAACAACATCACAAAACAAACAAACAAAATCTCAATTATTATAAAGGGGAGTTTATTTCTGACTTCCTCATGCATCTTTTAATGCAGGGTCTAGATAAGTCTCTGTGCTCCCTTTGGCACATACTCTTTGGTAAGAGCAAGTCCTGTGACAGCAAACTTGAGTACCATTAAAAAAGTCACATGGACACGGGTCCATATGTCCAAAGAAGATAATTAAAGGAGGAAGGAAGGAGTGATCCATGGCTGACCTAGGCTCAGTACTTACTTTTCAACAGACTTCTAGTGTCCTTACAAGGGGAGTCATTTATATTCACTTTTCCTAAGCATTGCAGTCATTAAAAATACACATCCAGTCCTCGCTAGTAATTCATGTTTCCTACAATATGGACGGGGACAGACGACTCCAGAAGAGCCACCCTAAGTCATCACAGGTAGCAGTCTATGCACTGGCTGTCTATGCAATAGAGCATTGGCACTACACATAATTACAATGACTAACATCTGCCATCTTGTTTCACCTCATTTTCCTAACGACTTTTGCAAAAGAAGTGTAAATACTGTTAGTAATGGACTTTTCTCAGTAAGTATTGGCTGGTATGGGTATAGCATTCCTGTCAAATTCAAGTAGGGAGAAGACAGGCTTATTAATAATAATTAAAAAATTGTATCTAGAAAAGGTTTTTAGTGCCTCACACACGCATGGGGCAAAGGGGAGCAAGGGCTGACAGGTCAAGCACTAATCACAGCCTTTCAAAGGGAGTCAAGCTTGCTCTCCTTTATACTCAACAGACTACTTCAAGAGGGGTATGAAATGAAGCCAGAAGGGAAATACTGTACTACTGGGAGACCATGGTTGTCTCGGCAATTAAGATCCCCCCACGGTGTTAGTTACACACAGAGACAGCTAGGCATTTTAGAAGATGTTTTCTAAGTATGTTACAAGAACGAGTACAGCTTGGCCACCCTGATCCACAGCAGCTTATTTGCTCTGATCCACAGGAACACACCTCTCAAGAGGTGGTGATGGCCAATATCTCAGCAACTCAAAAGGGTTGATTTGGCCATCGGGGCCATGTCCCCACCAGAGTCCAATTCCCTTTCCTGCACACTATTCCAAGTGGGTTTTACAACAGTCTAGTCCTCTCCCCACTTCTCCAGGACACCCCACTCAGGTGTTTCTCTTCTCTGTAGCTTGCCCTCCACTTCGATCCCCATTCACAAACCTTGGAGAACCCTATGACACCAATTTCCCCTAGTGTGTCTTCAGTCCTCAAAATATTGTAGATGGTTATTTTTTCAAACAACATAAAATTCAGGGTAAGGAATATATTCATTTGCATTTATGACTAAAGCCTAATTCCTTTAAGTAATTATTTTTTTTTTTTTTTTTTGCTATTAATAGGAACAGTTCCCCATCTGTATGGAAATCCTCTGGCAAATGTGAATTTGGCATGTTTCACTGAGGTCTCTAAGGCAAACACATAAATGCAAAAGACCTTACAGACCTAAGATTCTCATCAATAGATATATTTCAAAATCAATGCCAATTTAATTCAGTTTGCAATCTTCTCTGACAGTATAAACTGGAAAGCTTGTGGTTATTGGAACACAATTACTTTACTAACTTTCCAACTTAATAAAACCTAAAAAGGGGAAAATCCTTTTATTTCCCTCCATTTATTTATGGCCTGGAATATGTAGGAATGTGCAGTGACTTATGATCAAAAAAACCTCCAAAGTTGTACAGTAATAAATTAACCCTTCTCTACCATGTTCTACACTAACCAAAATAATTTGGAATTTCTAACACAAAAAAATAACCACAGAATACACAAAAGTATATTTTACTATTTTGCTGCCAGATGATTGCATTGGGAACTATTTTGTACCAGATGTTTTTTAACTTGTATGGATTTGAAGAGAATTTCCTACAATACATAGTAGGAATGATTGATTATATGGGACAATATGTTTCTTTTTTACTTATATCAACACGAGACAAGAGTTCCTTATTTCACAAATGGACAAGAGAACAGAGACAAGGATCTTCTACCCAAAGGGAAAAAACCCCACAGTATGGTGTACAGCAATGTAAAAAAAAACACATGTGGTAAAACCAGTAGTTTACAAGTATATCACTCCATATCCAACATATGTGAGCTACTTATAATGAGAAATATTCATCTAAGGGCCAAGGGAATGGTTTAGACACTCTTTTTAGAGGGAAATTTTTAACTTGAAAATTGTCGTTGATATAGCCAATAAGTGAAAGCTAAGAAATTTATTCTTCGAATCTGATGATGCAGCGAATTTGAGAAAGGTCAAAGTTTGATTTCAGCCAGAAGAATAGTTTGCATGTTAGATCTGAAGTGCAAAACTTTAAACTTGTTTAGCCTGAAAGACTGAAAATCTTGGCAAGGTTGGGGTGATTCCACCAATTTAAAAAAAATGAACTTTTGCTCTGGATATTCTAAACTTTTGTCACAAATAAAATGTAAGGGCTACAATAAAATATTTAACTGAAGCAGACTAGTGGTGGATAACAAGTGTTGTGATATTTGTTCAGTTTTTTCCTGTGCTTGTGAATTGAAAAACATATTATTTGTTCTGTATAAACAGGCAATTCCCAGCTTTGTGAGAGTCTGTCACTGAAAGAAGGGAGAATACCACTCTTCTGGAAGAGGAAGAAGTGGTTTTTAAACTACAAAAATTAGTTAACCTTTTAACATATATTTTCCACTTAATCTTACCTCCAAAAAATGCTCTGCTTGCTGTTCCCGATCCAATTTTCTTGACGTTGTTGTAATCAGACCTGTGAAAAAAGGATGATATTTGATTGTCAATATCCATTGAAAAATATATGTCTCTATCAACCAGAAGAAATAAATTCATTTTTCAAACACTCAAAGGGAAAAAATCTATTTGAAGCTATATCAGACACAGATTTTTTGACATCTGTCAAACATTTTCTTCCTTGGTGCAGCCATTATGACTTTCTGGTGAACAATGAATCTTTAAAGAAAAATGCTGTGAGAAATGTAACAAACAGTTAGCTGTGTATCTACAGTTAACATGCTACATTTATTACAGTGAATAAAAAAAAAAAACTACTAAAGAATCACTATTTGTCTTATGATTAAGTGCTTCAATGAATCATTTGCATTTGACTGAAATCCTTACGTAAAAAACCTCATTAAAGATTTCAGAGGACTCAAACAATTAATGGGATAGGATGCTGATTACTTCCATGCCAAGAATACTTGACAAAGAAGGTTATTTCTGTAATAACTACTTGTATACATAATGATTTCCAAATGTAATCATTCTAATGCATTAAAGGTTTTGTACTACAATTTCATCAATTTGTTCCATGCTCAAATTGAGTCTTTAAAATAAAGTACCCTTTTACACAAGGATGATCAAGATATCTTTTTTTTTTTTTAAAGCAATACACTTTCACAAGTTATTAGCCTCTTGTGAGATTTATACCAAGGAAAGAAAATGAAACACTTCTCAAGTTCCCTCAAGAAAAGAGATGCCTATCTTCTATGAACATAATGTAGCTTTTTATTTTGTTCTAACCGGAGACTTAAAGGTCATATTTGAGTTTTCCCTCATACAAAACATTTATTTGGATAGGAAAATGCATCATGTGCTTGTTTTGTGTTAGATTCTGATGAACGTAAAAGGATCGACTTTTCCTAGAGATATAGCTGGTTTTGGAGATAATGCCAATGGACAAAGTCGTTCTCAGTAATTTCTTGTCTCTAAGATTACCCAGGAAGAGACGAAAATAAATCTCCCTGGATTACCTATTACAGCTATTTATTTAATCAGACCAGTTAAACGTTTAAACAGAAATCCATGATGACCCTAAAGTCTTCAAAAAAACCACCAGCCACATCTTACATCTACGTAACACATCTAGTCCAAGAAAGCTTCTGTGGCTGCTCATACACTGTCACCTTCTCCTTGGAGGAATCATTTTATCTACTTTGGTGAGAAGAGGGGAAATAGTACTTGATGTGATGAAACGAACAAACGAAAATCTACTCTGCTTACAATATTTCAGACTTGTTCTAAGATCTATTAAACCACAGAAGTGACACCCAAGGGGAGGTCAGAGAAACCAGAGTGGATCACTACAACTACATGGAAGAACTTGGTTCTGGCAAGAGGCTGAAAGACCAAAACAACTGGTATTGCGTGAATTAAGCAACTGTTAGTATTCAAAACAATTACACCATATGGTAGACATCTACTCACTGCATGAGTTTAAACAGACGTGACAGCACAGATGACAAATTGGTGTCTTTCACACAAGATCCCTCCATATCTAGAGAGGACACAAAGATGCAGAGAAGTTGTTCCTACTTATGAAAGAAGTTGAGCCCCAATAAACTGGTAAAGTAAAAATTTCAAATTTGAAATATCCCTGTTCATCACATACATGGTCAATATGGATAATTATCAAGTAAAACTTCACCACACTAAAGAATATGATCAATTTTATATCATCTTCCACTTTCTTTCTTCCTAATGTACCACTGTGAACTCCACCTACCTTCTTCTTAAACAAGAAATGTCTAGCTGCAAATTACAAGAAGACTCTGTCCTCATATTCTTCAGGCAGATGAATTCACACTCCTTTCAAAGACCAAGAACTAACATCTGAAACGGAATATCGCTAACTGTCAGAGTGTATAGTATTTGTCTTTCATTGGTAAAACTAAAACTACTACTACTACCACAACCACCACTACTACTACTACTACTACTGCTACTACTATACTACTACTACTACCACCACCACTGCTCCTCCTCACAAAACTACTGGTATCACTAAAGGCTTTTGTTTTTGTTTTCCTTTGTTCAGTGTAGTGCCTTTTGGACTTCAATAACGGTCAGAGTGCCTTCAGACCTGAATTTCCTTCTAAAAGACATGTATGAACATATAGCAAGTCTGTATGACAGAACTGCCTATATTTTAAACAGCAGATCTTAACAGATTTATCACCCAGACTTAACAGCCGGTCTTAAAGGGCAGGTAATCAGACCATCACAATCAGTTCTGCAGACAGGATCCTGAGGTACAGTGCTAACACAGCTGGTTGTTTTTGCTTTAAAGACAGCTCTACATACAACTGCCAGTTCTGAGCAGTTTCATTAGGTTGTTATAATACTGTACAGAAAAAATTGGTCATTTGTGCGTGCAGCCGTGGGGTCTGCAGTTTCCACTCCCGCTCTCTGAGGAGCTCTCCCATCTGACACGCATGGCGGTCCCATTGCAGTCTCCTGGCTGCTCACTTCCACATTCATACCTGAAGTCATGGATCGATCAAACTACACAACGCTACATAAAATCAGATCTTGACTACTTGATGTTAATGTTTATTTAATTATGGTCACATATTAGTACAGATGTTAATCTGGTCCTTTCAGATTGTAAAATTGTATTTCAAGGAACTCTGTTTAAGACCAATCATCAAAACTGAAAAAAAGAAATATATTCCAGTTATGTCTAAGACTACCTGCAGATTTACTACTCCAGTCTCAAATAAATTAATTTCATGGGGTTTATGAAAAACTTGTTGTGTCCCCCCCTCCTGTATTCAGCATTCTGTGTCACAGACACATAATAGCAATATTTAGCAGGATGTAGAACTTTATTTTCGAGATACAGGGGCAACTGAGAGAAACTTGGCTTTGTACAATATAATATATACCAGTTTTAGTTCTTCTCTAACTGTATTAAATCGTCATACTCTGTTATGGTGTAAAGACATTATATCTAAAGAAAATAACTCACAGAGAAAAATAACCCCCAAAAAATGATGCTAGGCTGCACTGCTGGTTATGATATAAAATCACAAGGGGACAATGATAAAAAATGACCCTTTCTTTTTTCCCATTTTCAATATGTGCCGTAGCTCTTCTAGACACAGACATCTGGACAACTGTCCAAAGCCAGCTGGGAAATACAGCACACATTTATCACAAAATAGTCAAAAACACTAACAAGCTTCAAAAGTCATAGCACACCTCTCAAATGGTTTCTCTCAAATTTCCAGGGAAACATCATGGTCCTGCTAAGGGCAGGAGATATTTATAACTGTGATGATTCCTTAAGAACAGCCATGAAAGTGAAGAGGAAAACTGGATCCAAAAGAAAAGCTATTTACAATAAAAGTATCAGCTCACAAGGAAGGCTATGTGATTCTGTTCTCAGCATTTCATACTTTGACTTACTGAGTTAAAACATCTCTCTGTGCATCCTGGTGCATCTGTTCCTCAGGCCATATAAATGAACTGCTTTGTGAAACTCCAAAACATTGCTTGACCCAGTATTTTGGCTTGGAGATAACTATACGTTCTTACATAACTTGCTTTTCTACAATACTTACTACTTTTGCTATTGGAGTACTTTTCCCACCATAATAAATGAACAATTATTGTTCTCCTCCCATTACAGAGTTCGGAAATGCAGGATGGTGAATAAGCTCACGCCACACAACATGTCCCATTATACTGCAGGACACGAGACCAGTCCCAGCTGACACCAACTGGGGAACATCTTTCCAATACCTCACTATATACTGAACAGGATTATCATCCTCTCCTGAATCACTCCCCGCTAAAAGGAAACTCAGCATGTGGACAGAGAAGAAATGGCAGTTTCCTTCACACCATCACCTTGTAATCTGGATGGGAGAACTGGAGGTTTGGGGTGGGCAACAAGACAGACCTGCCTTACAGCTTAGGTGCAGCCATAGTGACACAGAAGAAAGAATAGGACCAAGACTAAGAAACCCTGGCACTTCAGCCAATACATCAGTCTACACAGTCTTCACCCAATGCATCATCTGGGAAACAAACCACCAGTTATTAGGGCTTAGAAGTGTGATCAAGACTTTTGAGCAACACTCAGCACTGACGCTTGGGATAATGCTTTTAGCATATCAGAGATGCAAAGTGAAAATAAGAAAAAAGTTTACTGAATGAGATCAAAACCCACGAGTGACTTCACATTTGCAATGAATGAAGAATGCAGTTACTAGACTGTGAATGAGGAAATGTAACTCAATAATATACATTAACTTGATCATTGGTCTGACATCTTAGAATTAATACCAGGTATGTGTGTGGATGCATGTATAGATGATTGAAGATGACATAAAATCAGGAATAGTTATGAATTCAACAGTATGGTTAATGTTTTATATATTTTTTTTTTAGAAAAGTGCATCTTTATTAATAATAAAGTCAGCAAACCTGAAAGAGAGAGCAGCACCTTGTTGGTTCTATTGTGTCACCTAAAGTATGCTTTGTTATTCAAAAGTGGTATGATGTTCTGTCGCAGACTGAGTCTTCTGTGATATATTTTTCTGAACAGTAGTTCTGCTTGGATGCTTAAACATGTGGCTATGCTAAATGTGTGTATCTGAGGAGTACGCAAAAGTACACATCGCGCTTTGATGATATGCAGCTAACAGGCTCAATCCAGCGCAATTCCACGGCAATCAGAGAAGCTGTGTAAATTTATGCTAGTTTTGAATATCTCTCAAATGAATGTAATCTTTGCATTTTTATTTTTAGTCAAGAATACATGAAAAAGCACAGAAAATTTTTAATTTATTTAACATAAACAAAGCAAGGCAAACAAATTTATATTAAAATATAATTTGTGGCCAACATCCTTCATTTCAAAAGGTTCAGTAACTATAATTTACTTGCATATCCAAATTATTCCTTCCTTGGGATGTTGTGACACTGCAATGTAATTCTATCAGAGCTCTAAAACTTAATTTGAAT